GAAAGGCGGCTGTGCTGATGCCGGCTGGGGAGCCGGTGTCTTTGCAGACTCCCGTGGCCGCTGAGGCTTAAAAGCCGCTGAGGCAGGAGGACATGGCTTCGCAATGCCAGAGGTCCCAGGTGACTCTGCCTGGCTGTCCCTGCCATTAAAGGTAGCTGGCAGGGATCTTGCTGGGGACAGGGTCGTTTTCTCCTGAAGTCCCACAGTAGGGGAGGAAGCCCGGCACTTGAGAGGCTGCTGATTCAAGTCAGCTTGCAGCGGCTGTAGGGCTGTATCGAAGAGGAGCATAGGGAGGCCTTCGCAATGCCAGAGGTCCCAGGTGACTCTGCCTGGCTGTCCCTGCCATTAAAGGTAGCTGGCAGGGATCTTGCTGGGGACAGGGTCGTTTTCTCCTGAAGTCCCACAGTAGGGGAGGAAGCCCGGCACTTGAGAGGCTGCTGATTCAAGTCAGCTTGCAGCGGCTGTAGGGCTGTATCGAAGAGGAGCATAGGGAGGCGCCTCTCCCCGTCTTTCCTGGCTCTGGAGGTGAGCCTTGAGCAATGGTGACACTTCTGGGGGATGTGAGACTCCCCCAGGCAACGGATACACTCTGCATGGCCGTCCCAGGCTGGCACTGCCTCCTGGCAGGAGCCGCATTTTTTAAAGCCGGTCCCTGACATTTGCCGGCAGCCCGCTGCTTCTAATCTTTTGTTTTTTTGAACAGTAGGTGGTTGTTAAGGCTGATAGCCTGGTAATGGCTCTGGCCAGATGTCTCTGTTCTTTTTATCTTAACAGTCTGTCTTTTTTTTTTTTTTAACTTTATGGGGAAAAGGGGGGAGAGGGAGGAAAAGGAGATTTTATATACAAAGGGAGAACTAGAAGCGGTCTAGTTCTGTGGAGTGAGGAGCAGGGTCACAGGCGTCTGCAGCCTGAGGCGGTGAAGAGGAACTGGCGGAGGGGCCGGACCGCGCGATAAAAGAGCGCGAAAGCCGCGAGCCTGCGGCACATGCATGGTCCGGCCAGACACTGCTCATGACAAGTCTCCGTCTGCGGCGCCGGGGCAAGCCCAGCACCCATAGTGGAGCGGAACAGGCTGGATTCCCGAAGAAGAACTGTAGAAAACTGACAAGGGAAGCAAAGTGACACAAGACGACGTCTGGCCAGCAGCGTTCGGACATTACGAAGGAATTTTAAGGTACCAAATGGACGCCACCAATGTATTTGTCCATTACTGGATGAAAAGGTAGAATTATAACTATTAGTGCAGACGGGGACCAGAAAGGGAGCGGCTGGGGTCATGGTCCCATCGTTGTTTAAAAGCTATGCCCTGCCTCCTTTTGCTGTCAACAAGAGAAAGTGAGGCAGGAAGGAGGCAGAGAGAAGTGAGTGACAGTGATCTTGGGGGGAAAGAGCCAGTGGGGGGGTGGGCCCAGGGAGGAATGATGGTGCGAGACAGGGCACAGGAAAA